GCAAAAGTGGGTGTAAGTCTCAAATTCCAACAAAGGCCAAAACAGATCTTACCTGTTGGGACTATTCCGGTCTTCCTGACCTTATTAGCCAACAGGCAGGTCCTGCTCCTCTACATATCAGAAAAGAGTGCTGGAATAGTGGCATATGCCTGTAATCCCAGCACTTGGGAGGCCAAGGCAGGAGGATGGCTGTGAGTCCAAGGCCAGCCTGAAGTGAGCTCAAGGCCAGCTTGAACTACAAACTCCTTTGGACTCCTGATTGGGCATCTGTCACTAATTATGCCCATTACAGCTCACAGTGGCCTGAAGACATATGAGTATGGGGATAGGAAGAGAAGCTGTGTAAATGTAATGAACAAGGAAGAATGTGATTTTCAGTCTTTTCAGTAGCACGCAAGGACAGAGACTGTAGAGAAATCCTAAGAACATGATCACTGTGGGAAATCCTACTCTGATCTTAGTAAAAGAACTCATCTTAGAGAGAACTTTATATATAAGAACAATTTAAAAGCCTCCAGCACACCTAATGATGTTCGGATCCATGAAAGAAATCACAATGGGGAGAAACCCTATGTATGTAAGCCATGTGGAAAAGATTTCAGTAGGCATCAACATTGTAAACAATATGAAAGAATTCAAGCCGGGTGTGGTGGCGCACACCTGTAATCCCAGCACTCCGGAGGCTGAGGCAGGAGGATCACTGTGAGTTTGAGACCAGCTTGGGCTACATAGTGAGTTCCAGGTCAGTCTCAACTACATAGTGAGACCCTGTCTCAAAAAACCACAAGGTTGTAAAATACATGAAAGAATTAACACTGGGGAGAAACCCTATGTATGTAAGCAGTATAGGAAAGCTTTTAGTACACGAGATTATTGTAAAATAAATGAGAGAGCTCATATTCAGCATTAACTCTGTGCATGTAAGCAAGGCAGGAAAGCTTTCAGCATTTGTGGTGTTTGCCAAAGACAGCCACAGAGGGGAGAAATCATGTGTATATAAGCAATGTGGGAATGCTTTCAGTACATATGTATTGTCAAATACATGACAAAAATTTCACTGGGGAGAAACTATATATGTAAGTCCATTTTGAAAATCCTGTGAAAATTTCTTATGTAGTAGAGTGATACAATTACTCCTATAGGAGTAATAAAAAAAGCTTAAGGTCAATATTTCTCCATAAAATTTCCAAACATAAAATCCCAGATAGAGATCCTAAAGTACATACATTATTTGTTTTTTAGTAAGTCACTTAAATATATATCTGTAGTGTTTAATATAAAAATATTGAGTTGACAGATATTTTTGTGTATCTTTGACCTTAATATGTGTCTTAATTAAGCATGGTGAATTAAAAAGTATTTTTTACTTTCAAGTAGAGTTAGTATTTTTGCAGTTTTTGTTTAGTCTTTACAATTTGGAGGTGTAAGCCACTAAACTGTTAATTAGAATTTTGCCACTACTTTTGTTTTAAATTTTTGGTGTGTATCTTCTGTATTCTGTGTAACAAGATATTTTGGAATTTGCCATATTTTATATTAAGATAAATATTTCCAGAACGTGTGAACATGTTTTTGACAGTTGTTTTCACACTTGTACATGAGCATGTTGTTTCTCATATTGACAAGATATTTGCTTATATCCCAACATTTTATATATATATATATACACACACATATATCATGTACCTAAATTTGCCTATTTTCTTTCATATTAAAGCTAATATTATTAAAAAAAAAAACAATGACTGCTAGCAAGGATGGGGATGGGATGTGAGAAGGACTCTTACTACACTGTTGGGAATGTAAATTAGTCTAATCACTATGGAAACCAGTATGGAGATTTCATATAAAAGTGAAACTGTTTGAACCAGCTATACCACTCCTTTTCATATTCTTAAAAGTACAGGCATCACACTACAGTTATACCTGCATACCCATGTTTACAGAAGTACAATTCCCAGTAGCTAAGCTGTGGAAATGGCCTATATGGTCATCAACAGAGGTACGGATACCGAAAATGTGGCATTTAACAGAGGATTTATTCAGCCACAGAGAATGAAGTCATGTCATTTGAAGGAGAATGTCCTCAGCCCATCAGAAAGCAGCCCTGACACAGGTGAGAACCACTGCTCTGAAGCACCTCCCACTGCCAGTCTCACTTCTCCTCCAGACTCACTGGCTTCCCTACCCACCAGCAAGGTTGCTAAAGTGCCCAAATGACTCAGACACAAGAACTCTTTCCTTGTCTAGCTACACCTTCACACTAGGTAATCTCATTCAGTTCCATTAAAAAAATTATTTTAATCATTAGGAACAAATGGTTCCTAAATTTACAAAGTCTCTAGTGGTGATTTCTCCTTTGAGTTACAGATGTATCTCAAACTTGTAAAAAATACAACTTTTATTTTCCCTTAACCTTCCCAACAGAACTGAAGAGCATAATCTTTCATTCAGGACAAAAGTTTAGGAGTCATTCTTTTTTTTTGGAGACAGGCTTGTTACATACTGGAACTCAGGCTAGATTTGAACTCACTCTGTACCCCAGGCTGGCCTCCATTTGTGATCCTCCTGCCTCAGGCTTCCTGAGTAGCTAGGATTACCAGCTTATGCCACTGTGCCCAGTCTATGAGTCATTCTTAATGCTTCTCTCTCCCACATAACCCACATCTGATCATATCCAACCATGAAGGTGTACTGAATTCATCTTTATATATATTCTAAAAAAACCATCTTACTCTTATAGGTACCAATCCTTTCTCTTTTTTTGTTTTGTTTTTTGACACAGGGTCTCACTATGTTCAAGGTGGTCTTGAACTCATTTGTAATTCAGGTGATTCTCCTGCCTCAGTCTCCTGAGAGCTGGAATTACAGGCATGCACCTGGCTGATATTAACTTTCTAACGCATCTCTAACATTCCACTTGTTCTCAATAGTCTATTTTTCACATAGTAGCTATACTGATAAAAAAAAAAACTTTTAAAAACTGAAAAACTAATATTTGGAATAGAAATGAAATTCTATAAATATATTCAAATCCAGTAAACTTGGGGGAAAAAATAAGAACCAAGATACATAATGTAAAGGTACAAGATCCCAATGACGAATGTAACTGTACTGTATACCTAAAAAGTACCAATAAACTTAATGAAAAAAAATCCATTAAACAAAAAGAGCTTATGTTCTTAACCTATGTGGCTTCCAGATAACAAAGGACCACTGCTAAATTGGAAAAGAGTTACCCTACAATTTCTAGGCCTTTTTAAAAAATCTATGTAAAGGGGCCAGAGATTTAGCTCAGTGGCACCACGACTGCCTCAAGGTCCTGAGTTCAATCCTGGTTAACAACCCCGCACAAAATATATGTATAGTTGGGCACAGTGGTACATGTCTATGGTCCCAGCACTCCTGCAGGCTGAAGCAGGAGGATCAAAAGTGTGAGCCCAGGCTGGGGATTTAGCTCCATGGTGCTGCCGCCTGCCTTGCAAGCTCAAGGGCCCAAATTTGATCCCCGGTACAAAAAAAAAGTTTGAGCCCAGCCTGGGCTGGGCAATTTAGCAAGACTCTACTTCAAAAAAAGAAATTAAAAAAAAATTTTTTTTAAAGGCCAGGGATGTAGATCAGTGCCAAGGCCCTGGTTTTAGTCCTTAGTACTACCAAAAAAAAAAAAAAAAAAAAAAAAAAAAAAAAAAAAAAGCACTAGATAAAGTTTACACATGTATATAAAATCTGTATTATACTGTTAGCTCATTAACAGATCATGTAACAATTATATAATTCCCCTACTTAAACCAACAAAAAATATCTCATTCCAAAGTCCTATATAATCTGGGCCTACTGACCTCCTCACTCCTCGGCATGTCTCTCCACATGCCCTTTCCCTACCATGCTGTAGCATGGTGGCATCTTGGCTCATTATGAAGTATGTCTAACCCGGAGTACTTCTCTTGCCTCTACCTAGAAGAGTCTCCATCTAGATTCTCATGGCTGGCTCAGATTTCCTTCAGTTCTCAACTCAATGCCTCATCAGAAGTTTGCCTAACCTTATCCTCTCAAATAGTCTCCTTTTCTCTCTGCCCATCACTCAATAGAAACAGAATACCCAATTTTTCGTTTCTTTGTAACATCATGTATAAAGTTATGTGTTGAAATGAAGATATAGCACAGCAGCAGAGCACTTGTCTAGCATGTGCAGGGCCCTGGGTCTGACCCCCCCGCCCCCAGCCAGCACACCTCACACACACATCTATACACACACCAGAAAGACAGGGCTACCTTCCTCCTTCAGCTTCCACCCAGAGGATTTTCCTTCAGGAAGAAGCATGAAATAAGCACTTTTCATCTTGTGCCTAGCTGCCTGTCTGTGAGGACACTAAGTCCTAAGTAAGTGCAAGTGTATTTGCAGAACTAAACAAAAACTTGATTAAAGAAGGAAAGTATGAAGACAACAAAACATTAGAGAATATCAAAAAGAAGAACCAAATTCTAGAGCTGAAAAGTCCAATAAGTGAAATAACCATAGCATAGGAAAGGTGTGTGATTATAAAAAAGGCTCCTAATCCCAAAGGAAAAACCTAAATTCATATTGTTGGCCCACTTGAAATCTGCCCCTAATTGGGAATGACTTCAAAACTGTAACTGTTTTTTTGTTTTGTTTTGTTTTGTTCTGTTTTTTTGTAGTTCAAACTGACTTTGAACTCACTATGTAACCCAGGCTGGCCTCAGACTCTCCAATCCTGCTGCCTCTGCCTCCCAAGTGCTGGGATTACAGGCGTGAGCCAATGCCTAGCAAAGCCACATTGGTAAACTTACTAATTTGATCTTATAATGTAATCACGAAATGGCCTCATACCAACTTTTAGATAACACCCATTCCTATTTTCACCGAGCTACACTCCCAGCCCTGTAACATCCATTCGAATACACAATTAATATTTTAAAGAGTCATATTATAAACAATACATTAATTCTCAGATATTTAATAGTAACATAAAAAATCTTACTGGTCTGACGTCACCACAGGAATTGGTAAACTGTCGAGCCAAGCCAAAATCAAGCATGAAACATTTCCTACATGTACTAGGAAAGCGACCCATGGCGAAGTTTGACTAGAAAAATAAAAAAGGAAAATACACACATATACTTAATCTTTACACTTACCCTTCCTTTATTTATTCTTCTACTTAAAGTCTATGCAACAGACATGTTCCAGATATACTATTTTACTCATTGATGTTTACTATATATTAATAGTATAGTTTTTGTTTCAATTAATGCCTAGTATTAAGTAATCTTTGAACAAAAAAATTGAGCAACGGTACAAAGTTATATAACACAATATGGACTTTAACAAAATTCAGAACTCTAGGTTCACTGAAATTCCAGTCTAGGGATTGGGTTGTCTCTTGAATTTTTTAAATGAGAGACATTAGGAATGTACAAAAAAAAAAAACTAAGAAAATTTAAATAATTCCCTAAAGCACCATATTACTAATCCAAATGAAATACAATTTAAGGAAACATTTCAAAACAGACTCAATACACTTTTCGTTCTTCTGTTAAAATAAAACAGTGTAATGTTAAATGATCACAAATTTGCAATGATAGTTAAGTAAGGTAATCTCTGATGGTAAAATCCAAATTGCTACATAGAACTATTAGCTTTTTTTCTTTCTGGTTTTGGCCTTTTTTTGTTTTGGGGGGTTGACTTGAGCCAGGGTCTCAATATGTACTTCAGGCTGGCCTCGAATGTGCAGCAATCTGCCTCAGCCTCCCCAGGTTAGCTTTTCTTTTAAAATACATTTCTACTTAAGGAGCTTTCTGAAGAAACAGAGACTCTCTCATTCATTAAGATGAAAAAAGGCAGGAGAAATACTACATGAGGTTGACTCTTCTATGCCAATTTTAGTTGGCATTTTCACGTGTTTCATTTTAGAAGTCATATAACAGGTGGAATATACTTTTGATATATCCATATTCATATTTATACTCTGTACCAACAGAGGTAACTTGACAGTAAATAAAATATATGAGAAACGGGTCATTTCTCATGAACAACAAACACTGGAAAGGAAAAAGGAAAAGCATATTTCAGTACAGAAATGACAATTTCTAAGAATAGCAAAACAACAACAAGTTAAAAAAAAAAAACCAAAAAAAAACCCCACAAAAAACCCTATATTTCCACATTACCACTCAGAAGAAAAATAGATCTTTAAATGTAATTTCTTACAAATATAATTGTCTCAGGAAACTGAGCATATAAAAGGAACAGCTAAGAGTAATTATTTTGGTGGGGGGTGTCTGAGAGAGGATCTCACTATGTAGCTCAGGCTGGCCTTGAACTCACTATGTAGCCCAAGGCTGGCCTCAAACTTGCAGTGATCCCACTGCCTCTGCCTCTTGAGTGTTGGGATTATAGGCGCACACCACCACATCCAGATAGAATAAGCATTAATTCAGAAAAAAGGCTGAGTATTTAGCAAGCTTAACATATATAAAAACACTAAGGGTAAATCATTTTTAATCTGGCAGCAAATAGTATTTTCATGGTGTAAGAAAAGCTCTGAAGATTAAGTTATAGGGGCCAAGGATTTAGCTCACTGGTTCCACTGCCTGCCTTGCAAGCACAAGGACCCGAGTTCGATACCTGGTACCAAAAAGAAAGTAAGTTATGGTTTGTAATTATTACTTTAAGAAAAACTAAAATATATCATTTTTTTGCTTCCAGGCCTCTATAGAAATAAAAATATTCATGTTTAAGCATACAAATATGGAAAACTACATCTGTAATTGATTGGGTTCCACAAAATACCCAATAAACTCCTCTGTGTTTAAGCAAGAAAAGGACCTTACCGGTTTGATGTCTCGGTGCAGGAATCCCACAGAGTGGATGCTTTCAATTGACTCCAGGATCTGCTTCCCTAGCCGCAGAGTGGTGCTAACGGTGAATGTGCCCCGGGACTGGCTGCGGCGCAGGTCTGCCAGGTTCCGACCCTGTGGCAACCAGATAAGCACTTGCAAATGTGGTACTGAACCAGTATAAGCCTGGGTGATTATTCATTTACCACTGAGAATTACTAGGACCCAAAATAAAACCAACCAAGCAACCAAAAAAAAAAAAAAAAGTATCACTGAAACAGGAAGAGTTTTACCCAACTTGTAATTTTCTGACTCAATAGAAGATAGTTTCTTTATAACATACACATTTCAGACAAATTTGAGTAATTTATTTACATAAATTTCTGATTCATCCTATTTCTCTTTATCTGATATCAGAATAAAATACACACAGATATATACAGATATAGCCATCTCCAAAGAACTAATTACTGCCTAATACATACTTTAATACAAGCTATTTATACTTAATCTGTTTCCTCTTAAAATGAGAATACCCACCCCCTCACAGAGTTCTGCTAGGATTAAACAAGATTCATGTAAAGTTTATAAAATAATTTCTGCTAAACATTAGGTAACCAACAATAGCTAAGAACTGTGATGTCATTACCAAATAAAATATGAAAAATGCTCAGTTACTTATTTTGTTTTGTGTTTTTGTGACAGGTCTCGCTGTGTAGTCCGAGCTTGCCTTCAACTCACTATGGGGCCCAGGCTGTCCTGGAACTCAGGACGATCCTCCTACCTCAGCCTTCCGAGTGCTGGATTACAGGCATGCATCACCACACCCAGTGCTCAGTTACTTGTAAGCACAGAGAAAAGCACTGGATGGAATCTTGCCTATAGTAGATATGACACTCATGATTTTGTGTAACCTTCATAGCATCTTACACCTGTTCCTGTTTCATCACTAAGGAAATTGATATTCAGAAGAGTCAGTAATGCTAACCTGTTATGGGTAAAGATACTTCACAAATTTAAGGCTGTCTGACTCCAGTGTTCTTTCTTTAAATTGCTTTTTCACAGTATGACTCCACTGAGACCTTTTTTTTGGCATAGGCAATGAACTAGTAACCTGAAAAGAGCTAGCAACCAATTGCACTAACCTCTAAAGAGTAGAGACTGAGTTCCCTGTCACAGGGATTTAAATATCCCAGTCTCTATTCTCAACACTGTCATGTAGCATATGTTTGGTGTTAACATGCCACTCATACCATCACTTCAACTAAAGACACTGATTTATTTTTGAAAAGAAATAAATTCTTAGATTACTTAAGAGTATTCAAGGGCCAGTGGTGCTGCCACCTGCCTCACAAGCACAAGGTCCCAGGTTCGATCCCCAATGCAAAAAAAAAAATTTTTTTAAAGCATTAAAAATAAAATATTAACTGCTGGGTGTGGTGGCACACTCCTGTAATCCCAGCACTTGGGAGGCTGAGGCAGGAGGACCACTATGAGTTCAAGACCAGCCTGGGCTACATAGTGAGTTCCAGGTCAATCTCCACTACATAGTGAGACCCTGTCTCAAAAAACAAACAAACAAACAAACAAAAATTAATTATTGCTCTTGTAGTTTAAAAGCTTAAAAACTTTAGTAAGATTAAGAGACTTTTATAACTCATTATGTTTGTTTAAATATAGTTTCCCCATAGCATACATTAATTTGCATTTATCATCATTATATCATCATTATGTTTTTTTTTCCATTAAATTTATTGGTACATTCAAAGTAAACAATACAATTATGTTTATCATTGGGATCTTGTACCTTTACATGATATATCTTGGTTCTTGTTTTTTCCCCATACCCCTGTCCTCCTTTCACCCTCTTATTATCACTATGGTTTTTAGGAGTTACTGGTGACTTCACACTGAGCTACAACCCTAGCCCTTTATTTTTTTGAGATAGGGTCTTGCCAAATTGCTGGGGCTGAGCTCAAACTTGTGATTGTCCTGCCTCAGCCTCCGAGAGTGTTGGGACTACAGATATAAGCCATTATATCCAGCTGTTACTTTTTTAATGTTAGGGAAATTTGTCTCTTTATCCCTCCCAAATGTAAAAATAAATGATAATACAGAAAAAACAGCTTTATAACTCCATGAGAGAATACAATCACATCTATTAGCATTTCAATAGATTTTCTTCAAAAACCTATTTTTTCTTTAATATTGAGGAATAAACCCAGGGCCTTGTCACTGAGATACATCCCTAACTCATTTAGGTATTTATACAACAATTCTGGCAAAGGTGAGAAAAAGTACGTTCCATATCAATGAACAAGGGTAGCTCTTCAAGAAATAAAACTGCTGGCTCAAAAGATAATAAATCACATAATTCAAAAAGATTTTCAGGCTAAAGTCCACAGAGAGGTTATATCTTTAGGTCTAAATCATATGCTGAAGCAAACCGAGGAGGAAAAAGAAAAGCCATAATCGATGTCTCTGAAATCAATGTTAGGTAGGTAAGCTGAAAGAAAATAAAGGAATAAAAGACCCAAAATAAAGTTTGTTAAAGATGATGGAAAAGCCTCAGAATCTGCTGTTAAGCAGCAAATTGCACCACAGTTTTCAAATGTTGTTACTATAGTGTGTGTGTGTGTGTGTGTGTGTGTGTGTGTGTTCAGGGACACAGAGTGTCAGAGAAAATGGAATGCTTTCTTCTTCTTCTAGATGTAGCCAGTACTTCCACATCCCTTGCTGAATTTCCTTGTCTCTCAACCCAACTCCATCCCGGCCTAAAGGAGAAGGAACAAAGCTCTGTCAATGGTAGAAAGAGGGGGAGAGCTAGCAGTACAGCTCAAGGGTAGTGAGACAGGAGATTAGGGCAGGCAGAGCCAGCTGAGGGCTATTAGAGGGCCCCAGATGTGGCAGAACAGTTCCCAAAGCCCTGTACTGGGACTTCTTGGGAGGACTCAAGCAGGTTTTCAATAGGATGCCTCCACCTGACATCACCCTAAGGTGTGGGATATCTCAACACTGCCTCTCAAATTTGATATGCAGAAGTTCTTGAGGGTTTCCTTCAGATTTGTACAATATAAAGGACATACCATGAAAACACCATGAAAACGCCATGAAGTTTGCTATCCTAACTTTCCACAATTGCCCATGCTGTATTTCTGAGATGCAGCATGTAATTTTATCTTTGCTCTTAACCCTCTTTTTCTCTTTACTAGGCTCAAGCTCACTTTGCAGAGCCAATTTCTTCCCTATTCTTCACTTTTATGTTCTTTAATAAACTTGGCCACGGCTTTTTACTTGTTTTGTTCAATTCTTTGTTGGAGATTCCAGAGGGAGAGGCAAGCAACCAAGAACTGGTAACATTTAGTTGGTGAGCCACTTTTAGAAGCAGGCTAGCCAGTAACAGTAGAGCCCTTAAGCTGGATGTGGTGGTGCACACCTGTAATCTGAATGCTTGGGAGGCTGAGGCAAGAGGATCACCAGGCAATTCAAGGCCAACCTGGGCTACACAAGTGAATTCAAGGCCAGCCTGCACTACAAAGTGAGACCCTGTCTCAAAAAAACAACACGATGGGCTGCTGGGGATTTAGCTCAGTGGTTCCACCGCCTGCCTCACAAGCACAAGGTCCAGAGTTCGATCCCTGGTACCACAAAACAAAACAATAACCCCCCCCAAAAAAAAAAAACCAATAATAGAGTCCTTGCCTAGCATGTCCAAAGATGAGGGACTGATTCTCAGCACTGCAGAGATGGTGGGGGGCAGACACAAGGAGAGAGAGATAGAGATAGGAACAGAGACAGAGACAGAGACTCTTGCTGAGCCCAGGTAACTTAGTGATTCAGCGAAATCCTGTCTTAAAATAAAATTTAAAAAGGGCTGGGATGTAGCTTAGTGGCAAAGTGCCTGTCTGGCAAGCAAAAGGTCCTGAGTTTGATCCTCGGAACCAAAACCGGGGGCCGGGGGGCGCCCTAATGAAGTAGCTCAGTGTGAAAGCCCTGGATTCAATAACAAGTACCACACTAAAAACAACAACAAAACCAATCAACAATAGTGAGACAAAGAGGTAGGAATGACGTTTATCTTGTATCTCACCTAATGCTTAAATTTCTAAACATGGTCATCACTTGTAAGCATAAATGGGAAACTGAAATATCTAAGGAAAAAAAAAACATGGGAGACAAAGGATAGGGATAGGGCAAGACTTCACAGCCCACAATCTATGCTGGGATAAAAACATTGCAGTGGGGCTGGGGATTTAGCTCAGTGGTGCTGTACCTGCCTCAAGAGCGAGAGCACAAGGTCCTGAATTCAATCCCCAGTTCCAGGAAAAAACAAAAACAAAAACTGTGCAGTGATGACAATCAGCAAATATACAGGTCAAGCAAAATAGCTGACATGGACAACCATTTCATTTTTCAGAAAATCTGTATCAAGAGTATTTAAATAAGTTCCATCTGTACAATGTGAAACATTATGACATGGTATCAAGAGTGTTTTCATTTTCATTTATATCCACTGTAACTGGGTATTCTGATCAAAATGAAAAGATTCTGAGATATATTTTCTAGGTAACCTACCTGTAACTGCATGACCACATAGTTGAATCGATCGTTCCTCCCACAGCCAATAAATCTACAAACGTGGTCTTTCCCTGGGTAAAAGAGAAAAAGAAAGAAACAGTGGAAAAGAATGTACTATACTTTTTCTTCTAAAAATTCATGATTTTCTGTATAGTATTCTATGTTTATGCAAATATTTATATAAATATGTGTTAAGATTATAAAGCTAGAACTTTTATGTCATTCAAAAATTTTTACCCATCCACTCCCCAGGTCCTGTAGTGCTCCTTGTGTAGTCAAATAAAACTTTGTTGAATTAATAAATAAAAGATAAATGAGTGAGGGAACATATAAATGGCAAGTTCCTTAGTAAAAGATTCAGAGGTCATTTCAGATCAACTTGCTCAGATATACTCCATACGAAAGAATAGAAAAACAAGAAATAAGAACCGTGTTAGAAATAGAAACCTGCATTTAGTTGAAGATGTGGTTTTTCTATAAAATGGAATACTACTCAGCCATAAAGAATGAGAAAATTAGATTCATTGATAGGAAAATGGATACATATTGAGGATATACTCATAAGTGAAATAAATCACATGTGTAAATACTGAATAGTTTCTCTGGTGTGAAAAACTATAATAGTACATAAGATCCTAACGATATAATTGACAATGTAAAATAGGAAGAAAAGGGCTAAAGGTGTAGGGAAAGTGGGAAGGGTAGGGGAAAGGTAATAAGGGAAAAGAAAAAAATATGAGAAGAAAAAATGGAAATAAAGTGTTTGTAAATAGGGGAGGCTAGGAGGGGGTGAAGGGAGGGCTGGGACAAGGGGAAAAAACAAAACCTGTCAAGTAAAGGTAAAAGATCCCAATAATGAAGTAACTATACTGTATACCTAAAATGTACCAATAAATTCAATGAAAGGGGGAAAAAAAAAGACAGGTATCAAAAGAAAAACATTGAATTTTAGATTCTGCCTTTTTTTTTTTTTTTTTTTTTTTTTTTGTTAGGGATCTAACTCAGGACCTTGTACTTGAGAAGCAGGTGGTGGAACCATTAAGCTAAATCTCCAGCCCTCTGCTACTCCTTATTACATGACTTCAACAAGTCACATTTATTTCTGGGCTCCTTTATTTGGACTAGCTCAGCGGTTTTCAACCTGAGTTACAGGTGTGAATTTGAAAGACATGCTGATTGGGATGGGCATAAAGGAGATCATGCTGGAGCTGAAGCTCAACTGTGAAGGCCTTGGGTTCAATACCCAGTACAAAAATAAATAAAAAAATAAAAATAAAAATAGCCAGGCATGGTGGCGCATACCTGTAACTCCAGCACTAAAGAGTCACAGGCAGGAGGATCAGATACTCAAACCCAACCAGGTCATTTAAAGACTTAGTGAAGCAGGGCATGGTGGCCCACACCTGTAGTTCCAGAACTCAGGAGGACCCACACTTGAGGAAGATGGCAAATTCAACCCCTTCCAGGGGAACCTGGCAACTTAGTGAGACTCTGCCTCAAAGTAAAAAAAACAAAATTTTTTTTAATAGTCTGGGAATGTAGACCAGGGACTTAGCTCAGTGGCACCACATACAGGCACAAGGTCCTGAGTTTGATCCCCGTTACCTGAGGGAAAGTGGGGGCTGGGAATATACCTTAGTGAAAAGGCCCTAATGTTTAATCACCAGAATTTAGAGTCCTATATTCTGTATTGATTCAGAATTTGTTATAGAATATGAGCATTTCAAAATGATATAAATGATCCAAAAACAAGCAGGACATGGATGGATATTTGAAAGTACTAAGAATCACCCAAAATATTTTTAGATAAATAATTATATACTACAGCAATACATTTTAGAGCACCACTGTGGTGGCAATGAAAATGACAGACTCAACAAAGGCTAAAGCTAGAGACAGAAAGGTCACAATACCCTGCAAGAGATAAGAATAAATATAAGAGGTGACTGAAATATATGATGAATTTTTTAGGGTGTTTGTTTGTTTGTTTTGCAACAGGGTCTCACTATGTAGTGCAGTCTAGCCTTGAACTCACTATGTAACCCAGGCTGACCTTGAACTCACAGCAATCCTCCTAACTCAGCTTTCTGAGTGCTGAGTTACAGTGAACCACTGTAACTCTAAGTGTTTAAATTTTAAAAGTTATTACAGTAAAAGACACATTGGCACTAATTCCTCATCACAATATCTATCCCATCACAATATCTACCCCCAACAAATACACAAATTCCTTTGGTCTTGCCACTCTGAAGCAGTTCTAAAAGACTCCAGTGTCTATACAACGTATAATGAAAAAAAAAAAAATCATGAACGCTGCTGCTGAGTGCCACTCGTTGGCAAGGCAGGCTTGTAGAAACATTACAGTGTGTTTTTATTCACATTATTCACCAGATCTGGTACCGTGCAATTTTGGGTCTTTCCCAAAATAAAAATGATCATGAAAGGTAAAGTGTCTGAATCAATTCAGGACATTGAGGCAGCCACAAAAGCACAACTAAAGATACTCACCAAAGAGGATATCCACAAGTGCTTCACAAAGTATGAAGAAAGATGAAGTAAATGTTTCAAAGCAAATGAGGGAAAGTATTTGTCGGAGGATTAGAATCAATGTGTCATTAAACTTAATATTTTAAAAATTTAAACATACATTGTACTTTTCAATCACAGCATTAATTATAGTAAAAGAGATAGATAAAACAGGATAAGCCAGAAATATGATAGATGTATCAGAAAGTGACATTAAATGAAAATCTGTACCAAAATAAGACAATGTAATGGGATGTATCAATTTTAAAAGATATCAGACTGTTGAAGTGGAGGGCAGTTGAATTAAGTAATTGTAATTTCAGGCATGGTACTGAGACAAAAAGATGGAGCTCCAGCCATACATCAGGGAAGGATTACTGTGGAGGACAGAACCACAAACACAGACACATAAAAAATAAGAAGAAACTAGTACACAATTCTGGGAAATTCATGTATAAAACAAAAGCACCCTCAAGGAAACAGAAGAACAACTCAAGAGATGGGAGGAAGCTCTGAGAAAGGGGTATCACAGGACCCATGAGAAAGAACAGTTCATGAAGCTAGAAGTGACGGGAAGTGCCCACTCATGAATATTAGGGTGAGGGAGCCACGAGTGATTAAAAGGGGCAGAAGCTAGTCTCTAGTGGGGTAAAGAGTAAATGAGGCTGGGCATGGTGCTACACACCTGTCATTCCAACGCTTAGGAGGCTTAGGAAGGAAGATCACCATGAGTTCAAGACCAGCCTGGACTATTACATAGCAAGACTTTGTTTCAAAAAAGAAAAGGGAGGAAAAAAGTTAAAGGGGTATGAGACAATGAAAGTAGACAACTTTTGGAGACATGTGCTTGTAAAACAAGGAATAGTGAGGCCAGGAGCTATCAGGTTAATATTTGGTAGATTGATAAAAAAGTGTGAAGTAAATTTCAAAAACTCTGTCCAAGGACTAACTTAAAAATAAATACAATTGGGCCGAGGATTTAACTCAGTGGTGTGCTGCCCTTACAAGCACAAGGTCTTGAGTTCAATCCTTGGTACCAAAAAAGAAAAAGAAAAAAAAGACTTATTTTAGTTAATAATTCCAAATTTCTTTGTGCATGGGTTATCTGTTACCACACTGCTCTATCATTCTCTGCACTTATGGTAAAACGGATCATAATAAACAGCCACCATCGTGACAGGTGCCTGCAGTGCCATCTGCTTGGGAGGCTAATGCAAGGAGACCACTTTAGCCCAAAATACTGAGAGTAGCCTGGAGACTTAGCAAGACTTCATCTGTGCACATACCCACATACACACACAGTGTATGTAAATATAAATAGGAAGCAGGCATGGTCCAGGAAGACTGCAAGTTTAAGGCCAGCCTGGGGTACACAGTGAGACCCTTCCTCAAAAAAGAATGAGTGTAATAGTAACCCAATAATCACCATGTGCATCATGTATGCTGATGATTTCACATTTTTTGGTATATATTTTAAAAACTGTATCATCTAGTCAACAGTTAAAAAAAATGCAAGGATAAAAATGGTCAATAACAACTTTATTCTTCAGATTCACCAAAGCAATAAAAAATGTAATTATGGTGCACGCATGCAATACCAGCACTCAGGAGGCTGAGGCAGGAGGACTGCCACAAGTTCAAGGCCAGCCTGACATACACAGTAAGATCCTGTCTCACAAAACAACTACAAATCAACAACAAAATTTTAATTAGCTCCCTTATTCTATTTTTCAAGACTTCACCTTCAGGCTGGAGATGCAGCGCAATTTTAGAATACTTTGCCCAGCACATGCAAAGCCCTGGGTTCAATTCCCAGCACCACACACACACACAAAAAACAAACCACTCCACTTTCTCATCATGTAACATTTAAATGCAGGGGCTGGGGATGTATGCAGGTTAGCAGCACCGTGCCTGCCTGGCAAGCGCAAGTCCTGAGTTTGATAGCGGGGGGTGGGGGGTGGGGGGTGTTAAATGCAGTACCTTTGTTAAAAAGACATTTCAATCATTTAAAAACAAAAAATCATTCTAGATTTAACTCCTCCTGGAATACTTCTTTTAAAATATCTTTATAAATTATACCAAAACCACCCTATTCTTAAAAAGAAATTAAATAAACCACAGATCTTTTATTGAGCAATCAAAGCAAAGGAAACTTTCTGAGATTCACCAATACATTCTCATTACTTTAGGTAAGATTTAAATGAGTTGTTTAATATCTTAAGGAATAGTATACTGGTACTCTTATACTTTATATATATAATCACACACAATTAAACAAACAGTTTGCTCAAGAAAAAATGTACAAATTTCTGGAAACATGGAAAAATTACAATTTAATTGGGACAGTCACTCTTCACTACCACTTACAGCACCTGCTAAAACAACTTTATAAAGAGTACACACTGAAGGATCAGTCCACGAGAGCAGGGACTAGTATCTTGTTCTGGTGCATAACAATGCCTGACAAACAGTGAAGTATTAGAGCAATATTTGAATGAATAAGCTAACAGAAATAGCAATAGTTAATGGAGGAAAGAAGGAG